CGATGACGACAGCGCTGGGATTTTGAAGCAGATTTTGTAGCCTACATTACAAAGATGGATGCCGCCGTCAAACATCACTCGTTCGAATCAGCTATCGCGTCTGTTTTAAGCGATTTGAACGTTTCCTTTTAGTTAAAAACCGAGCAAAGAACAACACTCGGCCGCTCTGCATACGTCATCTCCTTCATCGCTCTGATTGGTTTTAGGTCTATCCGCGACGTCCGTTGGTGACGCCCCTCTGGAAATGATTTGTCTATGACGCTTTGCCAGACCATAACTCTGTTACAACTGAGAATGGTCTTGTTTTAACCAGGCTAGAGGAAAGGGCTAAGGTTCCCCAGAAACACTGCCAGAAGTTGGTGTCTGGTTATACATCTTGTTTGCAGCAGGTCATAACAGCAAAAGGGCGTTCTACTAGGTACTAAAGTACTTGCCATGAGGGGGGTTGAATAATTTCCAGACTGCAGAAGTCATTAAAAGTTGCGTTTGGGGAAACCACATAAAACATTTTTGTTTAATTTGTTCATTGCAAACTGTAAATTTTGCCAATAAACCTGATTTGCAATGGGGGTTGAATAATTTCGATTACAACTGTATATACATATAATATGTATATAAATATTATGTTATATATACACGCGCATATATTATACTAACTAAATGCACTTTTTTCTTTATGCAAACTATCATTTCTTTTTTCTTTTTTTTTTTCTTTTGCAGTTAAATGTGACCTGTAGCCTACATATTTTCACAATTCATCTTCTGTGAATGTTTAGTGTGCTTCTACATGTACAGAATGTGGTTGCTAGGTGGTTGCTTACAAGTCCACCCTCAAGTCTGTGATCATTTTGGTCTTTAGAGGTGCGTTCACTTCATGTCAAAATTACCATAATTACAAGATCTCAACTTATAAAAAGGGTCAAAGTTCTTGTAGAACTCGGAATTACAACTTGTAAGCTGGGAATTTTCTGAGACTTATGATATGCATGAATGTGAATATAAAGAGCGAGATATGCTTGATGTTAAAAAGAGTTATAAGTGCAATATATTCTGAAAAGGTGCTCGTGCTGACTGGCACACCGCCAAAGTGCACACACAGAAAGCTGCCTCTTTTAGAAGGCGATCACGAATTTGCGACATGTTTGATGTTAAAAATTGTTATTAAGCAAAATAAGCAGTAAAAAAGAACTCAATGCGGTGCTCGCGCTGACTGACACACACTATGAGCGCGTGCACAGAAAGACTCAGCATGCGAATTCATGTCTTATTGCGCTTGAATGGTCGAATACACACGCAATTATGTCAAAATGCCTATCGTGTGGAGTATTCATGTAAACACAGCCGGTTTGTCTCAAGTGAAAGTAAACAGTTGGGTGTAAACTGGATGTGTATCAGTATAATGGATCAGTGCGTTTGGTCTTAAAGTGACAGCAGCCTAATAAAGCTCTCTGTCATTAATGCGAATCAAACAAAAGAGAAAATAACTTACTGCTCTTGACTGAACTTTTTTTTAGCTTTAATAAGAATACATTTATATTTAATTCATACAGTGAAGACTGGAATATTATTATTTTTTACATTTGATTATTCAATTTCTGTACTAATTCTAACTGCATGTTAAATACATCTATTGCAGCCTTTCTCAAAGTGGGTGCCGCGGCACACTGGGGTGCCCCCTGACTGTGTCAGGGGTGCCGCCAAAAAATTACGTAGGCTAAAAAAAAAAAAAAAATCTGACATTTCATATATAAATATATTTACATAAATACATTCTTCTTCTTTTTAAACATATGAACGTATTAATAAAATTGTAAATTCATTTTAGATAAATATATATACGAAAATATATACGAAAAAAAAAACGGTGTTGCCTACGTGTTATCCTCTTTTTAAAATTTGCACCCTGTTGACTTATACGGGGCAAGTTTTAAACCTGCTTTTAGCCTCTTAACAACCTTAATGTGTCATTACAAGTGCACAGCCATATGAGTGAACACGGTGAATCTGACTGCAGTAAATGTGAAAGATATGAATAAAAATGATGTTTATTCAGCCAGCTGCTCACATACCCGTATTTTCTTCCTGTTTTCGGTCGAAGTCCACAGTAGGCGATTGTCGAGTGCGCGCGCGCGATCATTGGTAACTAAGCAACAGTGGAGACTCAGACTGTCAGCTGTCAGCCGATGACGGTGCTGTATGGTGTTCTGAGAATATCAGCTCAAATGGATAGTTCATCCGAACCAGATGTTGAACACACGGAGGAGGTTTGATCGCGCGCGCGAACTCGACAATCAACTACTGTGGACTTCGACCGAAAACAGGATAAAGAGATTATTCCTGCCTTCGTGAAAGCTCGGATCACAGTTAAGACTGATATATCAGCCCAGGCATCCACGATCCATTGGCAGATAGTGGCGTAAGTCGCCCGGCGCTGTCTCCCCGTCTTGGTGAACGTGTGTTCACCATCCATGTATAAGGCGCTCCGAATTATAAGGCGCACTGTTGTTTTTTGAGAAAATTAAAGGCTTTTAAGTGCGCCTCATTGTGCGGAAAATACGGTATATAAAATTAACCATAAAAATCCGTCTCACAAGACCGAAGCAAGACACACACAACTTGACGCAAGTGACGCAGCGGCAACCCATAGCAACGTGTTATAGCAACAACACCTCAGACTGACAGAAACGTAAAAATAAACGTGAATTTAGCCCACTTTAGTTTTGTACACATTGTCATGTTAATTATAAGCAAATAATTTTTTTTATTGACCACAATATACCAAAAGGTGCTATAAAATTGTTATTATTTACAGTTCGTATTATGCCCCTTTCATTACTGTTCTGTCTAAATAAACAGGACATTTGCATTTACATTTGGGTTATGCAGTGTTTTTAAATTATATTTTACACCGGGGTGCCTTGAGATTTTATGCACTTTTGAAAGGTGCCCTGACTGAAAAAAGTTTGAGAAAGGCTGATCTATTGTACCTGAAAATCTTAATTTGTTTAATTCACATTTTTGGTATATTGTATTTGTCCTATTGTTTGTTTGCTTCTTTTTTTCTTATATTTAATAACAGAAATTAGATATTGTGATATATATAGCCTATCGTTGTCGTGAAATACAATTTCTCATATCTTGAAATTAGAATTTGGTCATATTGCCCGACCCTTAACAATTGCTTAGAAATATAAATATGTGATTAAACAGCTACTTGATGGAACAGACAGGTTTAGTTTATCAGCAAAAATCTGCCCGTTCGCAGATGGCCATGAAGAGTGTGCTCTCATTAGATGAGAATTTCTTTGTGAGGGGTCACACACAATTCTTCGTCTTTGAAGACTGTGTGTGTGTGTATGTGAGGTAATTACTTTGCAGTATAGGAGAATAAGACTTTATAAGACTCTTGCAGGGGAAGTCATCATTACCATGGAGACGAGAACTAATGAGAGCAGCAGGAAGAGAACATGACCTGTGCACAAGGTTCCCAGGCCACTGTGTCTGCGGGTGCTGGGGTGGAAGCTGAGGGGCTTGAGGGGCTTTATGGGCTCAGGGGCAGTGAGATCACTAGAAACACACACACACCATACCACAATAATGGAAGACATACATAGTTCAATACAATGGCTGTTTCAGTCCTATAGAGAGAAATGTTGAATGGCAGTTGTGGTCAGTGACCTTCAGGAAATATAAGTTTTACTGCTATAGAATGTATTGTTGTTGGGCATCAATGTAGAGACTTCTTTCTTTCTATCTTTCTTTCTTTCATAGGTTCATGGTGATTGAAAAAATATGAGATGGGAGGAACAATATATTTCACAGCTGTTGTGTTCTCTCACAAACGTTTTGTGTTCCCCTAGAAACTTTGCAAACAGCAGCCGCCTTTTACAGTTCCTCCTGAACCAAAACATCGAGCTTATGCTGCATATCGTAACCGTAATCACGATATGGCAACCCGTGACGTTCTAACCCGAGCTGTTCATGTCCTCAGACTTGGATTTATGCATTTCTGTCAACACTATCAATGCCGAAATCAATCTGCAGCAGTCAGGTGGTACAATTAAGAGCTCTTTAAGTTGGTTACGTTCATTATTATTGTATTGTTATGAGCTTTGAGACACAAGTTAGTTTACCGCCATCTCTCATGACGCTTTGCAGACTCTACTGTGTGTGGTCATGTGTTTTAAAGGAGTCGTGGCTTTGGAGACGCTCTCAAGGGAGGGTGGGATCCTATGCTTTCAAAGCTAGCTTGTGCCAGCTTCTCCGAAATTATACCCTACCTTTAAATTAGCTTTGTAGACAAACATGAATTGTCCTTCTTTACAAATCTTTTATTCAACAACTATGGTCTGGAACCAACAAATATCCAGCATACATGTTTCTTCTTAATTTTAAGGTTACTACATAATTCATATACTGCCATTTGTGTTATTTCAATAATATACGCTACTGTTCAAAAGTTTGAGGTCAGTACGATTTGTTTTTTTTTTAACACTTTGATTCAGCAAGGATGCATTAAATGATCAAAGTAAAAACTTTAATAATGCCACAAAAGACTTCAATTTAAAATGAATGTGGCAATCAGCAGCAAATCATCATATTAGAATGATTTCTGAACGATCATGTGACACTGAAGACTGGAGTAATGATGCTGAAAATACAGCTTTGCAGCAAAGGAATAAATTACATAGTAAATAGAAAACTTAATATATATATATATATATATATAATAAATAGAAAACTTGTGAAAATTAGAAAAATTGTATTTCACAATCTTACTGTCTTACCTATTTTTTTCATTGAATAAATGCAGCTTTGGTGAGCATAAGATACTTTTTACTGACCCTAAACATTTGTAAGCTTGTGTAGAATGAGCAAGAGTGTGCAAACGTTTGACTGCCACTGTATTTCTAGTATGCTGTTGCTTGCAATACTATACGCACATGCATGCACAGAATCATGTGAACTAACTCATATGCGGTCTAACGTAACCTGTGCAGGTATGGCCGCTCTGGACAGCCGAGCGTCAGGGAAGATGGGTATGAGAGCTGTAGTTTACTACACCACCACCACTATCATCGCAGTATTCATCGGGATCGTCATGGTACTCATCATCCACCCAGGAAAAGGCTCCAGAGACGAATTCACCAAACACGAGAAAATAGAACAAGTCAGTCCAGCAGACGCCTTCCTCGATCTAATCAGGTATAGTGAAGATCGATTTTAATTTTATTTTCTTATGTCCGTTATAATATTTCTTTTTAACTTTTATATTTTTTCTCTTTTTTAACAGAAACATGTTTCCTCCTAATTTAGTGCAAGCTTGTACACAACAGGTACGTTTTTAATTCACAAAAAACACTAAAAATCTAGTTCCCCATAAGATGGTGAACAAAACCAAGAAGGCTAACTGTTTCTACTCTCTTTACTTTCCACAGTTTAAAACAAAAAATGGCAAGCGAGTGGTCACAGTTAAAATTCTGATGAACGACAGTTTGAATAACGGGTCGGAGGAAGTCAAACGTGAAGACGTGATACCAGTGCTGGGAACGGTTAATGGAATCAATGCACTCGGACTGGTGGTCTTCTCCATGTGCTTTGGCCTCATCATTGGGAGCATGAAGGAGCAGGGTAAACCTCTGCGGGATTTCTTTGACTGTCTGAATGAGGCCATCATGAGGCTGGTTGCAATTATCATGTGGTGAGTGATTTAGAGTGGGAAAGTTTTTTGAGCTAATTAATTGACATATTTATTTATTTATTAAATAAAGTGTGGTTTTCACTGGCTATGAAACTATGATAAACCTTGTCATGACCTGCCAGGAATGTTTTTTTTTGTCATTTTAATTTCAAGCAGACTTACTGGAACATTAGCAAATGAAACAGAATAAGTTGGAAAAGTTAATATATAATAATAAACTACTTTGCTAAGACACCAAAAGAATTCCATCTTTTCAGTCATTTATCAGTTGAATAGTGTTTTTAAAATCTAAAAAAATTGTATGTGTGTGTATGTATGTATATATATATATATATATATATACATAGACATGTATATATATATATAATAGTATATTAATATAATTTAATATAAGTACATAGACATGTATATCAACTTTTGAATTTGAGTCTGTTAACATGCTGAAAAAAAAGCTCAATAATTTAGCATAGACCATGATGATTTAAGTTATATAAGCCAGGGTGCTTTTGCAGTTAACTTTAGTATGAATTTGTGCCACATAAATATCACTCTGTTTTGTAAGAATATTTCCTGGTTCCTGGTTCATTTCATATCGACATTGTGCTTGAAAAATGTAAGTAATGAAGTCAGGTGGAAACTCAATAATCTGAATGATTCAATAACTGTTTTCACACCTCAGGTACGCGCCACTGGGCATATTGTTCCTGATTGCTGGAAAGATAGTTGAGATGGATGATATATCAGAAATGGGAGGCCAGTTGGGAATGTACACCATGACAGTCATCATCGGCCTATCGATACATGCATTCATTGTACTGCCCTTGCTCTACTTCCTTGTGACACGTAAAAATCCATTTGTGTTCATCGCTGGACTTCTGCAAGCCCTCGTCACTGCTCTTGGTACCTCTTCCAGGTGAGCTTTTACACCCATAATAATCACAATAAACTTTTTTAGAGCATCTATTCATTAACTTGAACCATAAGAGTAATTTGTTTTAAATTTTTGTTGTACTGTATGTTTTTGATTCACTAAAATGAGGCATTTGTTGTTTTGGTGTGCAGTCCTCCAGGACTTGTCATTCTTGTAATTATGTCCTGTACACTGTGTTTTCTTTGCATCACATTCAATACAGACTGCAAACTCACATTCATAAGGAAAATATGATTTATTTATTTTTCTCCAGCTTGTGTCGAAATTGCAAAATTGCGCAACATTTTCATTTCGTGTCCCACGGAATAGTGTTATTATGGGTTTGGAACATCATGATGATGAGTAAAGGACAGAATTTCAAATCTGCTGTGTTTCTCCGTAGCTCTGCCACTCTGCCCATCACCTTTAAGTGTCTAGAGGAAAATAACCATGTGGATAAACGTATAACCCGTTTTGTGCTGCCCGTGGGAGCCACTATTAACATGGACGGCACAGCTCTGTACGAGGCTCTGGCTGCCATCTTCATCGCACAGGTCAATAACATGGAGATGAACTTTGGAGAGATCCTAACCATCAGGTACAGATAGGAAACATAAAAAAAAAAACTTATTTTATGACTGCGTACAACGTTTATTCAGTTAAGGCAAGAAACCACAGGTGAATTGAGTAAAATTTGTAATCACCATACTTCCCCAGTTAATTAATGACATTAAATATGCAATACATGTTTAAATATGCAAATATGCTATTTTTAATATCTAATTTAAACAATTTCCAGAACAGAAATATGAACATTGGAATTGGATGTAGGTTCAAAATTCTTGTTTCATTTTGTTGACATATTAGAGTAAAAGGATTTACAGAAGAATTTGGGTATCTCTTTTTATCGCTCCATAAATCAGAAATAGTCTCAACAGTCTGGAAAAAAATCACTGTTTTTAGGAATAAAATGTTATATGAAAAAAAAAACTTAACCTTCTGTAAAGAAAAAAAACACCTTCAGAATATAGATAAAACTGGAGTGTGGTGTATGTAAGGGCTACTGAAATAGAGATTTCTTACTAAAAAAAGAGCATGAGAGAAAACAGCCTTTAAATATATTTATTTTAATTGAAATCTACAAATGCAAATAGATGAAGTGCAATAAAAAAAAAAAAAAAAACACTTAAATGTGTATTTTAAATGTTTTTCTTCTAATTTCAAAATTGGCCAGTGCATGAAAATATTCTTTCCTGCATTATATTGCCTTAAAGTTTGTTTAATTATCACACCGTTCAGTATGTTATCAAAGTGAAACCAAAAATGATATTAGAATGCATGCTTTGTGTCATTTTGAAAGCATCACAGCAACAGCAGCCAGTATTGGTGCAGCTGGAATCCCTCAGGCTGGCCTGGTTACCATGGTGATAGTGCTGACCTCTGTGGGACTGCCCACTGATGACATCAGTCTAATTATCGCGGTTGACTGGTTCCTGTGAGTATTGCGTTTTGTGTATTATGACCACTGATCTATATAATGACTGGATAGCTCATGACGTTCTAAACTGCCACCAAGCAGTGAAGCCACCGGAAGTGTTCGAGCGGCCATCTTACGATTCCCTACCAGCAGAGGGCTCCAATGGCTCCAACGGCCGTTATACAGAGATAGGTAGCTCCGACGGCACTTTTACGATGACCCGCTGTGCATCAACAAGTGTAAAACGAAGATCACAAAAGGATCTTGAAAAACTGCTCACAGGTTGTACTTTAAGTCCATATATAGTAATTTATATGCACAATTGTCGCTATTTCCGTGTTGTTTTAAAAAAATGTATAGCCTGCTATGTTCTTTCCTACATTCTTTCACAGAGGTATTCAAGTTTAAACCCAATAAATACGTATTATTCAATACATTACTTCTTATAAATTTAATTAAATGCGTTTATTTAATATTTCCATGTCAATCCGTGTTCAGTTTGACCACGAACCATGCGCTGTCACTTTAATTCAGCGCCTGCAGCACAAACGATCTCTGCACGCACTGCACTTGGACGGGCATCCGCGTGCAGTGAAAGCTCCAACCTGTTGACATGGGTATGGTAAAAAAAAAAAAGCACTGCAAACGGAGTAGGCCTATGTGTAAACCCCTTATTTACAGTGCACACATCTGCGGCGCATTACGGTTCCCGACAATGTTTTATTCCTACCTTCACGCGCTGTCAACTCACACCAGGAACATTTCCACGTGATTTGCCGATTTGTGGGCGCGATCAGCGCCGTGTCGCAGCTGTAACGCGCCGCTGACGCGTGCAGTGTAAATAAGAGGTGAAACAGGTGTACATTAACCCATACAATTTGTATTATGCATTTCCTGGACATGTTCTTGCTAACTAATCAAATACTTGAACAGACTACTGATCTATCTGTAAAACACAATTAGAAAGAGCTAAATTTTAAGTTCACAATTCACATATACTTAATTTTTAGTAAGCAGGAATAATTTCCGACTTTAAACAAATACCCATTTAAATGCTTAGGATGTTTGCGTTGTAAGACTGTTCAGGGAGACTTTAGATTTAAAGACGGTGTCTCGTTATGCAATGTTTTCTCAGTCAAATCATACAATTTCCTATTGATTCAATAGAACGCGTGAGCTCACTAGGGAATCACAATATGGCGGCGCGGTGGCTTCACTGTTTATGACGTCATGAGCTATCCAGTCATTCTATATAGATCAGTGATTATGACGAATGTTTAAAGTATTTTTGTGTGTGAGATCATCCCTCATAAGACTCAATAAATGCACTAACTTCAAGTTTTGCACATTAAACTGGGATAGGAGGATGTGTTTGAACAACTACAGCTTTAACAAACACAGGGTTACCGGCCGCTGGAAATGTTGAAGAATTTTCATATTCATTTGTATAGCGCTTTTCACAATACACAGGAAATCATGTTGATGTTTATAATATCTTAATATCTCCTTGCCTTATAGTTGCATTTAGCATATTAAAGCTGGGCGATAATATAGTTTACATTTTAAGACGATACAAGCAATCAAGTATCCCATATGAAAAAAACCTGCATGGTTCATATACAGCAACCATATATCTTCCTTACTTAAATTGGACAGAATTACCTTATGTGTTTCATGTAAGACCAATACATGTCTTATACAAAATCAGACCGATTATGGCCCCTTTCATACTAAATAGCACACATACAACTTAAAGGGGATTTTTGCTTCATATATGAATACTGTAAAAAGTCTTATATGAGTTTTACATGACAAACAAATGCAATCGTATATGGTATTAGTAGAAAACACCCGATATTCATATACAAATCATTTAAAGTTCTTATATTGAATCATATGCTAGTCAAATTAAAGTCCTATAGGATTTATACACATTTTGTGTCATTTTTTTATACGTGTTATATAAAGTGTGTCATACAGATTTCATGTTTAGATGACCAACATCACTTATATGAAGTTTGCAAATTTGGAAATTGTACAGTGCAGAAGCTGGTTGGAGGATGTAGTGTCAAAGTATCTCTGACCTTTATGAGGACAGGTCATTTTCCTTCAGGATTTGGACAGTAAATTTTAAATCTGGAAATCTCAACACATTCAAAAGTGTTTCCTCTCGCAACACTGACACAGTGTTACAATATGAACACTACCGCACGGGAATGGGATTAGTATTATCTGGGGACCTCGTGTGATTTAAAAATTACCCCGCCACATCTGAATTTCGTGTGGCGCATTCGCACGGGATAACCGAAGCCTGTGATTTTACTCGAATTTACTGACTTATCTCCCGGATATGACGTCAATAGGCTTGGAAATTTCTTTTCGTTATAGGTCTAGCTGTTTGATATATTATGACATAAACAGAATAAAGTTCCTTACCGCATGCTGCTATACATGTCATTCATCTCCATCTAATCATTCGTTTTGTTTTTGCTCTTCTGATGATTTTCAGCTTTCACTTTCTGCAAATTGTGTAGTTGCGATATGACCCAGCACCCAAAATACTATCAAAACACTCCAAACCAGCCTCCATTCTTCGCGAAAGATGGATAAAAAGGCGCACATGAAACAAAAACCTTGAAAAAATGATATACGATCCGGCCAAATCACAGAGATGCCGATTCGCGCGGGACCAGGGGCGTCACTAGGATTTTCATTTTAGGGGGGCTAAGCCCCCAATATGATTTAAAAAATATATATATAAAAAGGTAACACTTTAGTTTAGGATCTAAAGATCACTATTAACCAATTTCATTACGATGCAAAGGCACGGTTTTATAATAACTGTGGTCCCAAATGTGAGGTAGGTCAAATAGGGGGGGTTCGGGGTCTCCCCGAGAAAATTTTGATTTCTCTGATCTACATATGTGGATTTTAAGATGTTCTGAAGGCCAAAAAACTTGGATAGTGGGCAGCTGATTATTTTTCTCTCCTCATCAGCATCACACTCTTTTTCTCTTTGTTTTTATCTTGCTCTGTCTCTTCCCCTCCTAAAGCTGAGCTTTGACTGATATAGGCTTTTCATTTTTGTCTGTCAGTGAAGAAAGTAAACATTGGGTCAACTGATAGGTTGATTTTGCCTGAATCATTTTCTCAGACGCGTTTATTTACTGAAAGCTACTAAAGGTAATTAAGTTTATTAAATGCATTCACAATATGTAGGCTACACATTTATTATTGATCTAATGCCTAATACAGGACCGTAGACAGGGCTTTATAATCACAGAGGTCCTAAATTTGAGGTTGGTAGGGGGTTCAAATTTTTTATTTCTCTGATATGTGCATTTCAAGACGTTTGAAGACCAAAAACCATGTCAGTGGGCAGATTATTTGTCAATACCTGCTCTCTTCTCATCTCCATCACTCTTTCTTTTTTTCTCAGTCTCTTCATCCCTTTCTCTTCCCCTCCTAAAGCTGAGCTTTTTTAATTTACTAAAGGCTACAATTTGTATTATATTCTCAATATGTACACATTCATTATTAATCTTGTGCCTAACATGATGAAAACGGCTTTGTTAATGTTTCTTGTAAACTAATTATTACATTACATGAGTCACGTTACATAGGCCTATTTTCAGTTAAAAATGGCGAAATTAGACAAAACTATATTACCGTAGTTTGCCTGATTATTTTTTGTCATTCGTTTAACATTTATGACCTAAAAAAAGTAAATTATGAAATGTTAAGTTTAGCTACTTACATCTTATCTCGCACTTGACCGTACGCGTCGAGTCGCACTGTTAAAATTCGCGCTCAGCAGGGTCTGTGAACATAAAGCCTGCCTACTTTGATTTGATTGGTCATCTGAAATATTCTGACATTGACGAGCAGTGACAGACCAATGAGGCTCAGCAGGTGAACACACACATGAACACACACACACACACACACCCTGTCCTCTGTTTCTGACGTGCTCTCTGCTCGGTGCCGCTGCGGATTGAAGATGAAGAACGCGCTGAATCTGATTATAACAAGACTGAAGCGAACAGGAATTTGTGTAGCCTACATTAATCGCACATTTTTAGGGGGGCTAGGCAGAAGCCCCCCTAAAAAGGGCCTAGTGACGCCCCTGCGCGGGACTCATATTATCACAGGACCTCTGTGTTCGGCGAAATATAGTAGGTAATTTGCGGGGGAATTTTTACTTTACAAATTACAGACATGGCCAACTCGCACGGGATTAAGATCACAGACAAACTCCGCAATTATTACAAATTACTTTGTCACCAGATAATACTAATCCCGTGCGAATAGGGCTTAAAGAGTAAAATATGACCACCAATGCAGAGAACAACAACACTGTTACAGAGCTGGGTGCAGCTGTGTAGCAAACACTGGCAGAGTTACAATTCTACACTGTTCTGGTGTCGACCTAACACTTTAAAAGAAGATGAAAATCATTCATCATGGAATTCTTCTCAGCCTTAGGAGTCGAGTATTACACCATCCTGGTGTTGATAGAACACCTTTTTACAAAGAAAAACAACACTAAAGGAGTTACCAGTTTTTCTTATTAGGGTTCTGCTTTACCTACTTTAAAGAACTGTAAAATAAACTGACAAATCATTTAATCTGAAAAGAATAAATTCACTTTGAAATAAACACATCACTCTAAATTACTCTTTCAAAACTTTATTTCAAAACAATCCAGAAAGTTAAATTGTAACCTTAGTCTGGGAAATCAGTTCTGAAAAATAATAATAATAATAATTCTGATAATTTACTCACCCTGATGTCATCAAAGATATCCATGTCTTTCTTTCTTCAGTTGAAAATAAATTAAGGTTTTTGAGGAAAACATTCCAGGATTTTTCTACACAGAATGGACTTCAATGGTAACCAAATATTCAAATGTTCAAAGAAGGTTCAAATGTCCGTCTCAATGTAGCTTCAAAGTCTCGACACGATCCCAGTCGAGAAATAAGGGTCTTATCTAGTGAAACGATCGGTCATTTTCTAAAAAATAAAAATAAATAAATATATATATATACACTCACCGGCCACTTTATTAGGTACCCCATGCTAGTAACGGGTTGGACCCCCTTTTGCCTTCAGAACTGCCTCAATTCTTCGTGGCATAGATTCAACAAGGTGCTGGAAGCATTCCTCAGGGAGTTTGGTCCATATTGACATGATGGCATCACACAGTTGCCGCAGATTTGTCGGCTGCACATCCATGATGCGAATCTCCCGTTCCACCACATCCCAAAGATGCTCTATTGGGTTGAGATCTGGTGACTGTGGAGGCCATTTTAGTACAGTGAACTCATTGTCATGTTCAAGAAACCAATTTGAAATGATTAGAGCTTTGTGACATGGTGGAAGTAGCCATCAGAGGATGGGTACATGGTGGCCATAAAGGGATGGACATGGTCAGAAACAATGCTCAGGTAGGCCGTGGCATTTAAACGATGCCCAATTGGCACTAAGGGGCCTAAAGTGTGCCAGGAAAACATCCCCCACACCATTACACCACCACCACCAGCCTGCACAGTGGTAACAAGGCATGATGGTTCCATGTTCTCATTCTGTTTACGCCAAATTCTGACTCTAACATCTGAATGTCTCAACAGAAATCGAGACTCATCAGACCAGGCAACATTTTTCCAGTCTTCAACTGTTCAATTTTGGTGAGCTCTTGCAAATTGTAGCCTCTTTTTCCTATTTGTAGTGGAGATGAGTGGTACCCGGTGGAGTCTTCTGCTGTTGTAGCCCATCCGCCTCAAGGTTGTGCGTGTTGTGGCTTCACAAATGCTTTGCTGCATACCTCGGTTGTAACGAGTGGTTATTTCAGTCACTGTTGCCCTTCTATCAGCTCGAACCAGTCTGGCCATTCTCCTCTGACCTCTGGCATCAACAAGGCATTTCCGCCCACAGAACTGCCGCTCACTGGATGTTTTTTCTTTTTCGGACAATTCTCTGTAAACCCTAGAGATGGTTGTGCGTGAAAATCCCAGTAGATTAGCAGTTTCTGAAATACTCAGACCAGCCCTTCTGGCACCAACAATCATGCCACGTTCAAAGTCACTCAAATCAACTTTCTTCCCCATACTGATGCTCGGTTTGAACTGCAGGAGATTGTCTTGACCATGTCTACATGCCTAAATGCACTGAGTTGCCGCCATGTGATTGGCTGCTTAGAAATTAAGTGTTAACGAGCAGTTGGACAGGTGTACCTAATAAAGTGGCCGGTGAGTGTATACATTTTAAACTTTTGAAACTTCTTTGAACATTTAAAGAAAAGTTGGTTGCCATTGAAGTCCATTCTGTGTATAAAAAATTTAAGAAAGAGAGACATGGATATCTTGGATGACATCAGGGTGAGTTTGAAAGTGAGCTAATACTTTAATACTTTAAGATATATGCTGGACATGAATATTAAATTAGCATTATTTTCCTACGTTTTTACATCAAGAAAATCTATATGGCTTTTGTACGTAGGACATACAGTATATGACATATATGATTAAAAATACATTAATATTATGCAATATGTGGATTTTGCAGCATATATGTCCCTTACATATTTCTGTTGGAACATATAAGAATCACAGGTGTTTTTAGCAAACCTTTTCCATATGGGTAGATCTGCTATATAGTATATATCACCCTGTGTGAGTATACTGTATGTATCCAGATAAAGTTGGAGATAGTTATACTGTATATAATACAACTTTGGATAAAGAGCTGGACGATAATATAGTTAAATTTTGCAATGAAAATAAAAAATCAGGCAGTTGAGATTTGCTACATGTTATAGTGTATATATCACTTTATGTGAGTGTACTGTATGTATGCAAGGCAAGGCAAGTTTATTTATATAGCACATTTCATACACTATGGCAATTCAAAGTGTTTTACAGAAAGGAATTAAAATAATCCCAAAAATAAAAGCAAGCGAAATTTAAAACAGTTTAAAAGATATATATGGTATAGTTATAAAATGATTTAAAAGAGTAAAAAGATGATACATGGATAAACTTCTCATCTGGCAACACACCGGTGTATCATATTTTTCACAACTCCCAGTTTTACTCTGAGATTTTCCCATGGTGATTACACTGTGTCTTTGGTGTTCTTTCGGCACGTCTAAGAAATCTATTGGACGTCTCCGATGGACCCGAAATCGGACAGGAGGAGCTCTAGGACGGACTCACGGGGTAACCTCGGGTTCACTGCCCCATCAGTCCGCACCCCAAAATGATTTTTTTATGTGGAAAAAGTTGGATATCCAACTTTATATAGATAGAGTTGTGCAATAATATTTTGCAATGATATAAACAGTCAAGCAACTGATATTTTCTATTTAGTATATATTGCTTTACATTTTTACTTTTCGAAGTAATAAAAAAAAAAGATCAGCATTCATCATACAAAATTCACTCGTCAAAAGCTGTGGAAATTCTAAACAGGAGAATTTCAACTTGTGATGTTTTGAAGACATTTTATCATCCAGCTCTAATCTGCTAAATGTGATCAGGCTCTGTTTACACCTGATATTAAGAAGTGTTTTGGACGATCGGATCACAAGTGGCCGACACTTAACACAGCTGTTAACGGGTCTAAAGTGCTTTGAGCTTGTCCACTTTTTACCTTTTCCAGAGGTTGTCGAAAACACATTCGACCGGATTGCTTTCGTAGTGTAAACGTTCATGTGGTCGAGTGTGTTCAAACAGACACACAATACCGTCTACTCTCCTTCTACTGAACTATGAGTAACATTATGGGAAGAGCGCTAGCCAGACGGGATTTAAACTGTCGGCTGAAGACCCAAGTTTGGTTTCAAGAGGAAAAACATACCAATCACAATGTTCTCTCACCATTCCTGATTTCTAACACACACTCACAGCGTTCGGCTGGTCTTGCAGCTGTCAGAGCAGAAACTAAACCTGATGTTCTCCTTGTGTTTTCCGTCGTCTCTGGTCGCTTTCATATGTAAGTCGCTTGAGCTTATTTAGTCAATAAGATCGAAAGATCTGAAAAAAACATTTCATTTCCCTGCTCATAGACCCTCTCTTGAAGAAATCAGGACAGAAGTGGTGGAAAGTTGACAAAAGAGACGGATTAAAACACCAGGTGTGAACGGGAATGTCTTCCTCGTCTACTCTGATCTATCAAAGCGCATCTTAATACCAGGTGTAAACAGGGGCCTAAGGCATGAAGATATTAAGATATAATAAACATTAACATGTAGATTTTTTTGTAAAGCTGCTTTGGAACAATATGCATTGTGAAAAGCGTTATACAAATTGTCTTGACATCTGAAGACATGCTTTGATGTACTATTCCCTACACACAGACCCAGGCAGAAATTCAGGGCGCAGGAAGCAAGATATTCCATCTTTCGCATTCCATAACCCATAATCAAATTGTACATGTCCATGCAACATCTGCTTCAAATGAGTTTTAGGACCCATTGAACAATACACCCGTATCCGATAGCATGTTCTTGAGACCTTTATTCCCACCGCATTCACAGCAGTCACTGAATTCAAGTCCAGTCCAGGGACCTTTTCTCCAGGTTAAAGCAGCATACAGAACAGAAGAGGCATTGTGAGGAACGTTCATGCTAGGAAAGATGGGTCAGCAAAAACACCACACAAGATGGAGGAACTGTTTTTCTTAAGCGGAGGCCACATGAGGCCCTCAGAACACAACAAAGGCTCAAGTGACATTAAGCGATCCAGATGTGTAAACCTCTCTGGTTCACCATTGACAAGAGGAGATGACTTTGATAAGATGTTCTGGTGTATGTGGGTCAAACACAGCATAACTCCACCATGTTTGTTTTCCTCTGCCATTTCAGAGATCGGCTGCGCACCACCACTAATGTTTTGGGCGACTCCATCGGTGCTGGCATAGTGGAGCACCTGTCCCGTCACGAGCTGCGCTCTATCGATGCCGAGATCGGAAACTCCGTCGTGGAGGAGAACGAGACCAAGAAATCATATCAGCTCATCTCTCAGGAGAGCGAGTCTGAGAACGCCAAGATCCCTGACAGCGAGACCAAAATGTAACCGCTTGTTTCCTGAGGAGTTTTATCCACAGAGAACTGGAGTTTTTTTTGTACAAACACTAGTAACTTAGTCAGACTCTAGTCTGATATTCATCTCAAGTCTTTTTATATGCTTGTCAGAGACATCCAAATGTGTTGAGGACCATTGCACAAGCAGAGATGGACATGTGTGGTCCACAACGGTCCTCTTCCAACTGTTTTATTGTAGAGTAAACTGATTAGATTGGTAAAAATCTGATTTCATTAGACATATTTTTAATAGTTTTCTAGATGCAGGTTTGTAAATTCAAGAGAAACTGAATGTCACTATGGAAGCAAGTTTTTGCTTCTACTTGGGCTGGAAAAAATAAAAGCAATGAATTACATCCATTCAGTTTGAAACTGTGTGAGTAATGCTAAAAAAGAAAGAAATAAGTGAAACATTTTTAAACTGGTTATGAAACACACATGATGTTTTGGCAGCTTAAGTTGGAAAGTGAGGCAGTGAGTCCAGAAGCAACAGTACAATGATTTCATGTTACATGATTTCAGCAATCTTTATCTGTGGAGTCACTTGCATGGATTGTTTTTGGAAAAACTTTACATTCAACTTATGTAATCATCTTATTCCAAGGCTTTTATAGATGACTCTCAGTCTGTACAAAATAAAGAAATCTATGAATTAAAAAAGGAGCATGTTGGCCTTAACTGCTCTCATTGCATGTGTTCTTCTCAGGACGGGCCATTAACAGGTCAATGATTCTTGTTACCTCTATATTTTGTCTCTTGTATTTATTTTATTTTTTTACACATATTTTGCAATGACAGTATATTATCATTACCCAGTTCTGCAGAATTACATTCATTACCAGCTGACAATGGCTCATCCTTGACATATCTCAATCCCTCACTATTCTACTATACCTTATCAAGTACATGGTGTCACTGTCTTAGAAAGAATGTGTGATATGATATATGTGCATATTGTTGACACAATTTGATCATGTCCTTCTTGACCTGGCCAAAAATTTTTTGTGGTGAGTATATTTTTTTTTATACATGTTTTACATATTATCTTAAAAATAAAGATTCCTTATTGCCATCAATGGTTTCATGAGGAACCTTTCCATTCCACAAAATGTTCTTTATAGTGGAAAAAGTTTCTTTAGATTTTAAAATTAACTTCACAGAGAGATTCTTTGGGGAAGCAAAAATAGTCTAGTGACAAAGTCTTAGTGTTTTATCAAAAGATTGAGCAAACAGTAGCCCCTAAATGTATTTGGACACGTTTTCCTCACTAAACAATGTATGAATGTCACTGCATAACAAAATATCAAGACAAAGATGATTTATTCATATACACATTTTGTATAAAAGGTAAGGTAAACAGTAAGGAAAAAAAAAAAAACAATTGTTCATTATGAAGTAAAACATTCATGAGCCATTCCACCGAAAGGGTGACATTTCTGTCCCCAGGACATTATATGTATAAAATTGCATGAAAATTAACTCTAAAATACATTTTATTATTAAGCAAAATGTCCTGCACATTAAGCTACCTACAAATTTAAAATGTATATTTAAAAACTTAGATAAAAACTACATAGAACACTAAAAAATTGCATTTTCTGCATGTCCCCACTCTCCATCTCTAAACTTTACAATGAAATATAATGATTCAAATCCTTCAGAAATCTGAATTTTTTTTTATTGTTGTGTGACTTTATATCCAATCTGCTTTAAAATGAAAAAAGAAAAAGACATTTTATCTAATATTTGAGATAAAATACACATTTTAGTCATGTCCCCGGGTTTTCACTCAGTCCTGTTACCCTAACACATTACCCCCTCTGAAAAACTGGGAATAATCCACAAGACCATTTTCAACAGTAAGTTGCATCATCTGGATCTTCTGAAGGCAATGGGAAGACCATAAGTTAGTCTTCTCATTTCAATTTCTGTATATGTGATGAAATTGTAACTACGACTGAGAAGGTCAATCTCAACATACTGTCCTGTTACCTAAACTTTTTCTTAGATTTTATTTGTTTATTTTAAAAATATTAACTTTTGGAAAGGCACTAGAAATGGCTCAGTGTCCTCATGCTATTAGCATGTACTATGTGGCCATATGCCATGTATTTGATAACTTTTTGCTTGAAAACTCAATCCTGTTACTTTCAGTCCTGTTACTATTTTTTTCATTTTTCTAAAAAAATTAAATTAAATCACTGTTTTTATCAGTTTTGTTTGGCCCATCATTTATACAATTATTTAATCAATTAAATTGTTTAAAAAATATATAAACTTGAGGCTTTGGTCTTCTTTAAAATGAAAAAAAATGGCTTTGTGTTTTTTATTAAAATACACCTTGCCTTAATAGTGATTTTATTGTCACAAATATACATTTTTGGAACAAATAACCAACAATTTCTTTAAAATAAACACTTTCTTGTGGGGAAAACAAAGGAATTAATTGACATGCTTTTAAACTTGCTTTTTAAATGGCACATGGTTTTCGGTAACAGGATTGAGAAAACATGCGCCCATCTTCTGCTTAAACCTTGTAAAAAAGTAAATAAAGTTGCCTGAGATTGACCAATACACATTTTGAATAGTTAAATATGTGTAGTATTAGATTCAATGTTGAAAAAGATAAAAAATAAAGTTTAATTTTGAAGAAATACAACAAGCAAATGTCACCCATTCGGTGGAATGGCCCTCATATGTTTTTGTTTTTTTGTTTTTTTCAGTTTATGCTTTATGTATTCCCTGGGAATCGAACCCATGACATTGGCATTGCTAGGGCTGCAGGAATACCTAAAAATAAAATGACAGAAAAAGAAACAAAACAGAAAAAAATTCCAAATGGTTAAAAGGGAAAGACAAAGTAAGCATAAAAGAATATAAACTAAATTAAATTAATGCAATCAGAAGAACAGTGCTTTCTTGAAAAAAATGCATTCTGGACTTACCGTTGGGATACACATGACATGTAATGCTTAATAGAAGCCATTATATTATAGCTGAATATATTTCCTATAGCTACACAGAATTATTTCACTTCAAAAGAGCAATACATCCAAAGAATGTAGTTAATAAACTACAGGTGTGCCCGCTAGCTTTAATCGTGATACTAAGTCGCCATCCAGTGGTGAAAAGTGAAACTACAGAAAGGCTCAAAGGTCAATTATAAACCATAGACAGAATAAACCCCAAAAGTTTACGACACTGGAGACTGCTAACGGTTCACCCAGTAAACCCATCAGTTGCTGAAATATATACTTTTTTCTTTGTCAAACATCATTTACAAATTTAGACAGTAGTTGGGTTTTCATAGATAAAGAAACAGTACCTAAATAACAATAATAAAAAATGTCAATATACAAGTATAATAGCTTATTTGCTTAAGCACTCTCACTTTATATTAGTTTCTTAAAAGAAATACCATAAAGAATCAAAGATCATAAAAAGATTCATAAAACACTTAATATGTGTAGTTTGATTTTCATAAACACATTTAACCTCCAATAAACAAAGAATTAACAACAATCTTTTGTATTTGGTGACTTTAAAATTCAAAGGATAAACATGCTATATTGTATTTTCTTTTTTATGCAATAGGATGTTTGAGGCTTTCTATTATTCTATTCAATTAAATTCTACTATATATATATATAAACATAAAATAGAAGAAGAGGAATAGATAGATAAGAGAAATAAGAAATACTATAAATATACTTCACATTTATATGTATATTTATATATATATTTACACACACATAAAATATGTTCATTAATAAATACATAAGTTCATATATATATATATAAGTATATAGTATGAAGTGAATTAATTATAAAGTGTATTGTAAATAACACTATTAATATGTGTGTTATGGATGTAAAATAATTTTTAAAAGAATTAGAATAAAAAAAATCTTAAATGATTTGTGCTCTGAGTTGTGTATTTCAGCGCCTAATTGAAACCGTCAACGGCACATCTGTGTCTGCGGGAAAATAATCACGTTATTAGTATTTGTATTTCCGGTCATTCCCTCTGACTGACGACAAAGCATCAGTTGTGGGGCTTTTTGTTGTCAAACAAAGACGTAAGAAAAATGTGTTTTACCAACATTTACGCGATTAGTTAATAAGGAGCTGAATTAAACTCTGCTCCGTGATGAAATGTGTTTAAAGTGTGATCAGAGACGGCCTGACCTCCCCCACCCCAGATAAAGATAGAGTTGACTTGTTGTTAGCAGGCTCGGCTAAACAAACCCCGCTAGCCCGCGCTGATCTTTTTATAGCAGAGAGGGGGAGCCAGAGACTTACAACAGACCGACAACCAAGCTCTCATCCCAACAACAGTCCCCTTATTTTTTTCTTCTTTGAAGTTACCCCAAGCTAAGGTAAATATGAAACCCTCTCAGAATTTCTGCTAAGTCCGTATTCGCGTTCCCTAACCACATTTAGACACATTTCCATTTTGTTTTTTTTCGACGGAACGGCTCAGTCGTTCTCCTCCGGCGCGCCCCCGTGGCGGGAAGCGCGTGACCCGGCGTCGCGCTCGTGCGTAGAGTCCGAGGCTTCTGGGGAGCTCGCGGAGGCCTCGCGACACACAAACACGGGCGAGTGTTTTTGTGTGGAAACTCAAACGGATCGTATACAAATATCCCACGCGCATTGTGATGAACGAAAGCGTTTCGTCGCGCGACATACAGCGTTAGGAAAGAATGGAGGAAAGCAAAAAGTATTTTTATTGTTCGCGAAGGGAGACAGAAAGATGTGCGTAGCCGAACTAGCTTTCGCGAGTGTTTAGCTTAGCAGAGGCTATCGTTTGTTAAGACTAAACGACTACACTATTGACAGAAAATTGTATATAAAATAACTAAAATTGTTATTTAAATAAGTAAGAACACAAGCGGCTCGGGATTATATAAAAAAATCCACCTATCAGAACAGAGCAATGCTAACTAGCGAGCATCTGCAAGGAATCTATTAAGTCGCGAGCTAACGCTTTGCTAATAGTCAAAATCATCTCTAATCATCTCTCATTTACCCACGAACGGCTTGAATGCTTGTTATGGTAAATATTTACAATCTCTGGTGTTCATAACTTCGCTCTGTTCGTCATGTTTTGAGTCATTACGGCTGAATAAACGTCAGTGAAAAGCTTTGAGGATGAATGGTTCCTCTCTCCAACAATCGACTTGTCAACACTGTGTTTTTGGTCATTTTGTGTCACCCTGTTTGTACAGATGTGATGCTTCACTCCATTGTAATTGCAGCCACATCCTATAATAGC